CATACCCTGGGAGACAGCCCTTTCTTGCTCCACCTCTACCCAGTCCTTCCTGCCTCCCTTTCTCTTCCCAGCTTCTTTAGGATCTGGCTTCCTTAGCCAGACTTCTGAGGCAGCCCCTTTCAATCTATGAGCTGGAAGTAAGGGGTTCTGGCAGGGATGCAGAGCCCTGAGGGCCAGAGCCAGGTACCCACCCATTTTGTCCCCTCTTCCTGGGCTTCTGCTGGCCTGATGCTAATGCCCTGAGTATCCCTGTGTTTCTCAGATGTGTCTGAGGGCTCGGTCCCCAATGGAGACTCCCAGAGTGGTGTGGACAGTTTGCGGAAGCACTTGCGAGCTGACACCTTCACCCAGCAGCAGCTGGAGGCTTTGGATCGAGTCTTTGAGCGTCCTTCCTACCCTGACGTCTTCCAGGCATCAGAGCACATCAAATCAGAACAGGTGAGGAAGGAGCTTCCTGCTTGCCGAAGTGGAAGGGAACTGAGCAGAACAGGGCCTCCCAAGAACTCACACCGAACACCCAGCCCCGCATGTGCTCACGGGAGGCACCGTGTGTATGCTGCATAAACGTGCTCACACAAGGACACCAGGATATAGTTAAGAAAAATCATTGTGATATGCAGTAAATAGGAATGATAAGTTCTGGGTGCAAGGTTACCCAGAAAATCTTCACCCTTTTTTGAGCCTCAGGTTCCCCATCTATGTAGGGGGAAGGGCTTCAATGTATGGTCTATCAGGTCCCTTCCAGCTCTACCATTCTGTGGTCCTGGCCCGGGCACCCAGAAATGCCCTCTTGCCATGTCCTTTGCCTGTCTCCTCCAAGGGTCCTACAGAAAGTCTGTGCAAATCTGTGGAGCTCCTCTTTCTCAGGGTCAGGAAGAGAGCCCACCTGTGCCTGGCTCCTGTTTCCAGCCATTCAGTGTGATCCCTGCCCTGACACCTGACACCTCCTACAGAGAGCAGACCAAAACCCAGCGTGGGATGCAACATAAACACATTAGCCAAACACACCACACCGAAATATATTTCTAACTCTTCACATTTTACAGTTGCTTACCCACCACCACTGTCTACTTGCTCCCTTTCCCCCAGAGCCCACAGTCCTTATCCATAACCCCAGCAGCCCCATGAAGCCACGTTTAGCACACACCTCCGCCCACATACCAGTATATCCCCTAGTGCAATCACCACACACAAGGCACACAACCATCCCTCCCATACATGGCCTAGGCCAGACTCATGCCTGCAATACAGTATAGCCTGCCATACTTGCACATGTATATGCACACACACGTGCATGTACACCCATACACGTGTACATCCACAAAGACTCACAGTCTCCACACAGCACAGTTCTACTCTAAGACTCCAACAGCTCCTAGCTACTTGCCTTTCTCCCCGCCCGTCCTTTCATCCCATAAGCTGTTTGTCTTCATAAAACAAAAATCAAAAGTCTTTTTAAGGTGCCCTGAGCCATAAACCAACAAAGGAGGAGCCGGTCGAGGCGGGCGGCTCGGTGCACCCTCCCTGAGTCCCCGGCTGTATTACAATGAATAACCTTTATTTACTTTCATTAGACTATTAAACACCAGCACAGTCATTTTTCCCCCTGAAACTCGGAGCAGGGCCCATAAAGCAAATCCGAAGCCTAATTGAGTTCATTTTAATTTCTCTCCGATCACAGCGAATTACTCTGGTGATAAATCAGGGGGCAGCTTCACCCCCAGTAGAAGGCCTAATTTGCAGCTAATTACAAAACTGATTTCTACAGGAAGATCAATACGAGAAGGAATTGGAAATGACGAGGCAATCCCGTCCAGCCAGGGAGGGGAGGGGGTCCTCTGGGGGGGCCAGGAAGCGGAAGGGAAAAAAACGGACCCGAAAGAGCAGAAAATCAGTTTTAATTTAACGTAATATTAATCAGAGCAACTTTTCCTGCTTTGTGCAGGCTCCTGGTCTGCCCAGCTCCAGGGTCTGGCTTGGCGGTGGCTGCAATAAAAAGGCAATTACCCGAGTGTTTCGGGCAGGACACCCTTTCAGAGTCAATGACTGGCCCCCTCCCACCCTTCTGTTAGCCATGTGGACTCTCCCCCTCCCCAATTTCATACCCCAGTGCACAGGCAGAGAGCGAGGGGCCTGTGGGGCTGCCTTTGTTTGTTTTTAAAAAAGGGGCGCCCATACCCTATCAGCCAGCCCACCAGTGCCAGGCTGGAGGTCCCACTAGGCCCTTCCCCAACTGCTGCCTCTGCCGTCATGTCAAGGTTCGCCCCTCCTCCCATAGGGTCCCCACCCCAGGAGGATCTGAACACCCCATGCCTCTCAGCAAGGAGATTCCCCATTGCTGTACTTCCCCTGGGGTTTCTTAGGCAGGTGGTGTTAGAGAAGACTAAAGGGCACAGGGAAAACCACCCACAATGGGTAGGTGGCACCTCTGGCTCACCATGTCAGGTCTACCCCACCCTCACAGAACTCCCCATCCCTGCAGTGTCTGCCCCTCCCAATCCCCCCTCCCACCCGGCTATCTCCTTCCACCCCATCTGGGAGGGCTCCCCGTTCCTCCTTCCCATCTGCACACCGAGCCCTTTCTCTGTGTGTGCTCATCAATAGAGAGCTGTCGCTTTTCTCTCTCCTCCCAGGGGAACGAGTACTCCCTCCCAGCCCTGACCCCTGGGCTTGATGAAGTCAAGTCGAGTCTATCTGCATCCACCAACCCTGAGCTGGGCAGCAACGTGTCAGGCACACAGACATATCCTGTGGTGACTGGTAAGGGGGCTTCTGGGAGGGTGGGGGTTACTCAGCCCATACCATCTGGGGCCCAGTGTGATAAGTGAGCCTCCTGCCATGACATCTGGAGAGAAAGCCTTCAAAAATCAGGGTGCTTCCTAAACAGATGTGTGCAGATGTGGGGAGAAAACACGGTGGTCAAAGGGTCTGGACTTCAGCCTGGAAAGGTGGAAACCAGGGGCTTACTTTCCATTCTCTCTGCCTGTTTTCCTGTCCTCCCTCTGTCTTTTCTCTTGCCTCCCCAAAGGTGTCCAGACTGAGCCTCTTGTAAGGATTGTGCAGAAAAATGCAGAGGGTAATAGGCCAGGCTGTTGAGAATGGATATCATGGGTGCCCAGTATCTAGTCTCTACACTTCTCTGTCCCCAAGGCTCCTAGGGGATCCACTTTCCTCACCCTCCAGGAAGAACAGGTGGCTGTGGCTTTAGGCTTGAGCTACAGAGGAGCACAATTATCACAACCTTTCTCTTGCTTCCTGGAGAAGTCACTGAGACCAAGGCCAAGTAGGGTCACATGCAGGGGGAAGGGCACTCTGACCAGGAGCCCCCATGAATCAGGAGCCACAGAGGCAATTGGAGTGGTCATGAAGGGGAGGGCCAGCATATGAAGTTCCAGGCTGCAGAGTTGTAGGCTACAGAAGATTCTTGGCACTGCAAAGGGTTTCCAGGCCAGGAGACTGCCCAAGTGGGAGAGACACACATTGAGGTGTTATTAAAATTCACCTAATTATTCTGGAGACACTAAAGCCAATGTGCCGTTTGTTCCTTGGGAGACAGAATGATTAAGAAGGGTCTCAGTGGGGATTGGGAGACACTGAGGCGTTACCTGCCGAGTGAGTGGAGGAGGCCTAGGGACCTGGCAGCAGGGATACAGGCAGCCAGCATCACAGCCAATAGCAAAGACAGGGAGCAGGGGTGGCCCTGCTATAGGACAGGGCCTGGTTGTGACTTACAGCTGATCTGAGCTTGGCTCAGGTTGACATGGGTTTGGAGTAGCCACCTAGCCTCCTGTTATTAGCTTTCCCAGGCCTTACTGAAGGGGTGTCCTGGTACACCTGTGTCCAACCTATAAGAAGTTGCAGTCTTTGGCTATGGGCTCAGTGGCTGAGTTCTAGAAGTGCTGCAGAGGTGACTTTTGGGAGTGATGACCTTAGCTGTGCCAGCTGAGTCAGGACATAGCCTATATTAACTGACCTTCAGCATGAGCCCTCTGTAGCCCAACTTGGGAGCTCTCTGACCCACTGAATCTTCTGACCCAGGCCAGGCCACCTTTTTGGTCAGTGGTCACTTCCCAAAGGTGGCCCACTCCAGGCAATTGGTGAAAGAGTGTGCAAGAAACTTTTCTCTAATCCCAGCACACTTCCCTATGCTCAAGGCAACAGTCTAAAAGGCAGGGACTTCCTAGGAGGGTGAAGATGTGGATCTTCAGGGCAAGGGCTCCTGCCGCAGGGAACACTGGGACTGGTACAGAAAAGTGCCTCCACCTTGAGCAGCCCCCACCCGCCTCCCCCCCATGGCCCTGGAACAGTCCCAGCTCAGCCTGGGAACATCTCCGGCTGATCCATCTGGATCCAAGTGTGAGAAAAGTTCATTTCAGACCCAGCTTGACATTCCCAGGTGGCAAGTTAGCACTAACATCTCAATCTGTATGCGACATTTCAATCAAGCGAGGAGTAACAAAAGCAGAACCATTAACATTCGGAGCTGTTCACCAGTGGTAATGACGGGGAAACTCGCTCAGAAACTGGAAATTACCAAAAAGAGAAAAGTGTGTGGAAGGATGGGGGAGGGGAGGTGGAGTTGGGGGCAGGGAATGATTTTTTTCACACTTAGGCCAAGATCCAATGTTTGGATTAATAGTGCCATTACCCGAGAAAGGGCTGCAGATTATGCTCATTCTTAAAATGTTTTTGCTGGCAATTAAATGACTGCAGCTATTGATCTTTGTTGATTTTATGTCCTTCTAATTTGCATAATCTATTAAAGATGAATGATTCATGATGTGTTTATTATGGGGACAAACAGAATTTGCTGGAAGTACTGTCAAGGTGAGAAACTGGGCATTGCCCAGGGATTTAGTAGGCCATCTCAGAGTGGCTTTCGGGCAGGACTCTGTGGGTAGCAATGAGCAATAATGCAAGGACACCCAGGAGAGGTGGACTTTAGGTGAGTTCTTCTAGAAAGATGTCGTTGGCATCTGTGAGAACTAGGCTCCAAACAGGGCTGGGGTGTGGGAGAGGTTCTTGGTGTATTTGTAGAATTTCCCCTCAAAGGTTCTTTAAAAACTTATTTCATAGGAGAATACTAAGGTCTTCAGTGGTGGAAGGGAAAGGGAGGCCCTTTCTGGTAGGCAGGTGATTGTGGGCAGGTGGGTGCTGAGGTAAGGAAGCAGCATCATCCTGTGCCCACAGCCTGGCTTGGATGTGCCAAGGTGTTCAAGGAGCCCTCTTTACCCCGACATCACAGCTCTCAGCTCATCTTTCTCCCTGAGCACAGCCAGCAGAGGCCGCAAACCCCTGGGGATGGGTTCTCAGGGAAATGGCCCAGGAAGGCCTTGGCCCAACCTGAAAAGCAGACCTTATTGATATTCCTGCTGCCTCCTGGCACTGGAGGCTGATTTCAAACTTCACCAGCCACTTGATGCAGCTGTTCCACAAGGTCAGGACTGAGAGGAGAGAGGAGCCTGCACTATTGTGTGGAGGGGAGAGTGGGGCCCAGTGGGCCAGGACAGAGCTAATCACATTGCAAGCAAGGGTGGCTGCCAGAGGCTAGGGCTCAGTCCGATAGCCTCCCCCACCCGCTCTTCCATCATGGAACCAAGGCGAGAGACTGATTTTTCAGAGTGGTGTTTGCAAGTTCTGCCGAGATTTTAATTTCACTGCATCACAACTCAGCAAGCTGCCAAGTCAAGCTGGTTATTTAAATTTATCACCCACTCTCCCTTCCGCCGCTGGGCTGCTCTAGCTCGGCGGCATCTCTTCTCTCCAGCCCACTGCTCTAGGCTGCTGGTCTGGAACGGAGCCGAGTCTCTCCTAAGTGATAAGGAAGAAGAGACCTGCTAGATGAGAGAATGGGCCGGGGGCACTCTGGCCCAGGCTTCCTCAAGTTGGTAGCCTGCTGCTGCCTTCCACCACCTTCCTACTCTTTCAAGAGACCCTGCAGGGGACTGCCACTAACCCCTCAGCAGTTCCAGGACCCTTTGGGTCAGGGCCTCTACAGTGAGAACTGTGGCTGCAACTTAAAGTCTCCCATCACTAGTAAAAATGAGAGCCCGTCTTCCGCACGACTTTCTCACCTTACCCTCACCCTCCCTGGGCCTGGCCAGGGCTGTAGTGATGGAGAGCCTACAGAGAGACCCTGGCAGCAATGTTGATCTGAGAAAAGATGAATACTAGTTTTAGAATTCCCAAAGTTACTGGAGATGTTTTGGAGCATTTAGACTCCTTTGGCTTGGGGAAGTACAGCTGGGAGGAGAGAGCAGGCTTCCTCCTTTGGACCCGTATGAGCCAAGAGGGTGCTAAGGGAAGTCAGTGATTGCACAGCTCCATGCTCATTCTTTTTTTTTTTTCAATAGTTTTTTTTGTTGTTGTTGATAGACTTTTATTTTATTTATTTATATGTGGTGCTGAGAATCAAACCCAGGGCCTCACACACACCAGGAAAGTGAGTTACTGCTGAGCCCCAGCCCCAGCCCTCTATGCTCATTCTTGAAGCTGAGGAACACACCTGTCCTGAGCTGCTGCACAGAGTGGGCTTCACTGGCCTCTAGTGGGCATTGCTGCCAAGCATTGGGAGAGCCTTGTATAGTGTAGGTTTCACCTCCCTCATTTTAGTGGCATAGAGATAATGGAAGAATGAGGTAGATGTCCAGAAGCCATCCACCAAGGCAAGCTAACCTTGGCCAAATATGGCTGGGTAAAACATAACACAAAATATGTTAATACACAGCCAAACCTCACTTTCTGGTGCCAGAAAAGTCAATGCCAGAGCAGTATGTGGGAGACTGCTGGTATCATGCTGGAGTGAGACCCTAATTAGGGAAAGTTGGGTTTGTAACACACTTGATGGGAAACATGACCTTGGGCTCAAGAGAAGCAGGAAGCTAGAAACTGAGTATTACCCTGTATAAAGTCAGAGACAGAAGAGAAACAACTCTGTCCAGGAAAGTACAGACCAATGGCCCAGGGAAGCAAGGGATGGAGGGGGTTGGGGGGGGAGATGTCACCATAAGAAATAAAGACCCCAAGCCTGAGCCTGGATCAGAATCCACATTTATGCAATGAGTGTGTTGCAGGAACCCCAAGCCAAGAACTTATATTAAAAATTTTCCAAGATAGTAACCCACTCGGAAATCCCAGCAAGAATGCTGCTGGCAAACCTTCTTTATCGGGCTGGGGATGTGGCTCAAGCGGTAGTGCGCTCACCTGGCATGCGTGCGGCCTGGGTTCGATCCTCAGCACCACATACAAACAAAGATGTTGTATCCGCTTTATCAGGACCTTTTATCAGGATCTTTTACAATCCAGGGCCCAAGGAACTCCCACAAAGAAAAAAAATAATCACAATTAAAGATGAGCTCACCATAAAAAATTACACATCCCATGTGAATGCCAACTATCATAAGTGAAAGTTAGCCAGAGCAATACATAGGAGAAATAATACCCCCAAGAACTGGAGATCATAGAATTATCCAAAAGCAACTATAAATTAAGCATGTTTAATATTCTAGAAAGGATCAAAAAGAGGTATAAGTTTTGCCTTTATCACAGAACCAGTGTCCCTTCCTCACCACTGCCCAACAGTTTCCTCACCACTGCCCAACATTTGAGACATCCTTCTTTCCTTCTTGACTCAGCCAAGTTGTGTGATAATGGAGATCAAAAAGGACCAAGAATGAAGGCCACACCTATAGCTCATTGTTTTGGGGACTTGGAGGAACTGAGAGAGTTGAGCCTTAGGCAACTCTGAGAGTAGAGCCTGT